GGGCACCGCTTGCTGGCTGCAGCCTTTGTGCGGCGGTGGGAACATCGGGGACGAGCCCCAGGACGAGGAGCATATCGAGCAGTCCCAGAGAGCCATAAATTGCTCCCTCCTGTTGTCACTGGCCTGTAATAGCAAAGAGGCGAAGCTTTCTCATCATCTGCCGGGGTGGGAATGTTTGGGTCCTGTCGTTTCTGTGAGCATATTTAATTCAAAAATGTGGGAATGCCCTTAATGAAGCAGGTCCTTGCGCTTGGCTTCTGTGGTGTTCCCAGGCAGGGGTGCCAGTGCAGGCTGCCCTCAACGTGGCTTTGCCAGAAAGGCAGTAATTAAAACCAGATAATGAGGCTTGAAAATAAAAGCTGCCCAAATTTCGGGTGACTTTGTTTTTCTGCGTTTCTTGTTTCATTGTCTTGGACATACACATCCCTCCCACCTTCTCTTTTTTTTTTAACTCAGTTTTATCTCAGTGCTACTTCCCCTCCATTCTTGCTCCCCAGTGTCATCCATGCAATGTTAAGGGGGATTTTTCTGCCACCAGAAGCCCAAAAGTCACCAGGTTCCTGCGATATGTTAGAAATGTGGGTGAACAAAGTCCCTCTAAATGCACCTGCTTCAAGTTTGTGAAGAAACCGCTATTTGCCAGAAAATTTCCCGCAGTAGGAGACAGACCAGAACCCCCATCACCTTGTGATGCCACCAGTGATGCCAAAAGGGTGAGAAACGAACCCCAGCCCAGTCCCAGCTGAGGGCATTGCCACCTATGACACATAGGCTATCGCCCTCCCCCTGCGCTGATCACATCTGTGCAGTGAAACCAGGACCCTAAGGGGCTTTTCCCAACTTTCTCCTCTGTTTTGTATAAACGGAGAAGAAAATGGGTTGTTGTGGGGTTTTTTTCCCCCGTGTATTTGAATCCACAGAGCAGTGCTCAACACCACTTGCAAAGCAGCACAGTTGTTAAAAAAAATTACCGTTTGATGGAAAATGAATTAAATTTTCTATTGGAAGACAAGAGTGGGAAGGGCTTTCAAAAATTACTTAAAAAAGAAAAAAAAAAGGCAGAAGATGCCTGCTGCCTTCTGTGACATTTGCATCCTGGTGGCAGAACAGCAGCGAGGCCTGGAGGGTGCTGGGAGGAGGATGCTCCGCAACATGGGGCCACCAGCCACCCAGCTGGGGACACGTCCCCAGAGCTTGTCCCAGCGCGGCAGCTCCCAGGGTCTCCCCATCACCGGGGTCCATCAGGAGTGATGCCCGTCGGCCATCCCACTGCGGAGCAGGTGGCATCGGCACCCTCCCGGCACTTTCTATAGAGCTATATATTAAATATGTGCGGGGAGTGGTTTCAAACCTTCACCTTGAGGATGTTCCTCCCTTTGCTGGTGGCAAAGGCTGCGTGGCCATGAAGGACGTTTTAGTTTAAGAGAGAAAAAAAGTAGAAGGGGGAGGTAGGAGAATTGACCTGGCAATGGAAGGAGGCAGGGAGAGGGCTGGGAGGTGGGAGGGAGAGATAAACGGTGGGTAAGCTATCAGCTTTCGCGGGGCTGGCAGCAGGACGGGGGACAGGAGTTAAACCAGCTGCGCAGCCGTGATCGCCCGACCCCAAATAAACCCCCAGCAGCCACACGCTGCCCCACGCCCGCCCCACACCTTGTCCCAGCGCCCGGGATGGAAACCAGCCCGGCCCCGGCTGCAGGGGCTTTGCTCAGCCTGGCTGGGGGTGGGGGGCCCGTGTCCCTAGCGTGGGGCTGTGCATGGACAGGACTCCCTGCACCCCACAAGTTGCAGCCTGGGAGGGGCCCCCCCTTCTTTCACCCAGGGGGAAATGTCACCCAGAAACTTTAAAAGCAAGCATTGGCTGCAGGGCTGGGGGGAGGTCAGGGGTTTTTAACAGCTAAGCTTTTGGGGGATGCTTTAAAAAAGCAAGGGATGCTCGAAAGGACCCTGTTTAAGTAGATAATGACTGTGAAAATCATAGACATTAAAGACAAGAAAATACCCATGGTGCCGTTCCTGTTCACCTGCTCCATCTATGGGTATGGTGTTGGCCACCGTCAGCAGCATGGTGCTGTAGT